ACAGGTTTGGGTGAGCAACATGGCTGTATACTCACCTGGATGCAGGTGGACTAAGGCCGAAAAGGGCATTAGCAAAGAGCAGTGGGATAGGAGTTAGTTTTATAGGTTTGGGTAGTTTTTTGCGGGGTGGGATGTTGCAGAGTAAGATCAGTTACAGTGGTGGGGGTCAGAGGCAAGGAGTATATATGACCACAAGTTCAGTTACAATGGCAGGGTTACAATGAGAGGTATTTACATTATCATAAGAACAGTTAAGATGGCAGGGAGGGTTGGGTGAGGGGCTTGTCTGGTGAAGCTCCACTGGGTGAACAGGGACAATGGCGAAAGCAGGCAGTGGGTGGGAGACATCAGCCGAGGCAAGCAGGACTTCAGACTTTCAGGCTTACATATGGAGACCTGACAAGTATATACAGAAAGAGAAATGACACAAATATGGCAATGTGTTAACAAATGGACACTCTAAGTGAAAAGTATATGGGTATTCATTGCACTACTCTTGTAAATTTTCTTTAGTTTTTTCAAGATGAAAAGTGAATGAAATTGCAATGACATCTAAGACCAACTCTCCAGTGTTAAGCCAATCTTCCTTCCCAAGCTATGTGTATAGTCCTCCGCAAGACTGCCTTCTCTTCAGACACCAGCTGCAAGTTTGGGAGTCCCCAGGCCGCTCTTACGTCTGACCAACTGGCTACAAACTCAGGAGTCCTCATTAACCCCTCAAGTTTGATATTCACTAGAATGATTCACAGAACTCAGGAAAGTGCTGTCCTTACAATTAGTTTTATTATAGCACAGCATATGAATCAGAACCAGCCCAAGGAGAATATATAGGCCAAGGTTTGAGAGGGTTCCAGATGCAAAACTTCCATTGTCTTCTCCAAGTGGAGTCAGGACTTATTCCCCTCCCCGCACGTTAATACGTGACAGTACACAAGGTATTGCTAGTCAGGGAAGCTCACCTAAATTACAGTGTCCAGAGCTTTTACTGGGGTCTTACTTTGTAGGCATGATTGATTAAATCATTGGCTATGCCCGTCTCCTTCTCCCAGGAGGTTGGACTGATATCACATGGCTAAAAGCCCCATCCCTCTAATCACACCATGGTTCTTCCTAGAGTGGCCTGCTCCCAGTCTGAGTCATCTCATTTGTTATCCTGGACCGAGCATCAAAAGTTAACACCAAGACAAAAGTATGCCAAATTGTAGGGTCTTTATTATGCCGGCGACCACAGAGGACTCACGTCTCTCCAACCTGTGGCGTCGAAAGGAGGGTGCTAAGACTTTTTATACCCGAAAAACCACCTTGGGAGTGGGAGTGAGGAGCGGGGATGGGGATGAAAAGGCTTCAGACATTCTGAGGGCTAGTGGATTCCGTAAATAACCTCCTGGGCAGAGATGAGGGCTCTGGATATTCCAAGGGCCAGGGGACATTTGTCATTCCTTTTGTTACTTAAGTGGTTTACAGAAGTCAAGATAAACATTTGTTTACACATTATCTGGGTAAGGTGGAAATAACAGACCTTAGTTACTTATTACAAGTTGCGGGAGCCAAGATGGCGTGGGTTAGGACTGCTTGCCTGTCACATTAGGGCCACAGAGAGCAGTTACTGATAAGCAAAATTTAAGCAGCTTTACATAGTGGGCATTTTTCAGAGCAAGCTAGCAGCTTTATTTACAGAAGCTAAACACAGCTTTATCTTATAAAATGGCGTTGCTCATGTTCTGGCTCTAGGTCAGCACAACATCACACATTAGCTTAAACTATCAAGGTCCACTGTGAATAACAAAGACACTCCTCTCATTTAGAAAATTCCAATTATTTACAGGTTATCTACCTGTTAAGAACCCAGGACAAAGTCCAGCCAACTTTTTCATTTTTTTATTTTTATTTATTTATTTTTCTGAGACAAAGTCTCGCTCTGTCGCCCAGGCTGGAGTACAGTGGCACGATCTCAGCTCACTGCATCCTCCACCTCCTGGGTTCAAGTGATTCTCCTGCCTCAGCCTCCCCAGTAGCTGGGATTACAGGCACCAGTCACCAGGCCAGCTAATTTTTTTGTATTTTCAGTAGAGATGGGGTTTCACCAAGTTGACCAGGCTAGTCTCGAAATCCTGACCTCTGGTGATCCGCCCACCTTGGCCTCCCAAAGTGCTGGGCACGTGAGCCCTCGTGCCCACCCAAATTTTTATTACACAGAAAGAGTTTTAAAAATATTTTTAAATATAAATATTTAAAACATCCATCTAGAGCCACAGTAGGTAGACCTAGAGCACTTGAATCAAAAAAAAAAAAACCTACTAGACTCCGGGGATATCATTTCAGCTCCTGGCGGCCTTGAAACAGCAGCACAATCTGTTTATATCCTGAGTTTAAAGAAACCACTCAGGTGTCTCAACAGTTCCCATTTCAAAGGCATTAGGATAAGTCATTTCACTTTGCTACACAGGGTCAGCCACAAACTGTAAATATACAGTTGTGTGGGAGTGACAAATGAAAGGAAATGATTTACATTTGTTGCCCAGTACTTCCCAATTCAATTTACTATGCCAAATTCTTATGATAATCACAGCCTATACTACTTCATCAAATCAGATCCCTCTAACTCTCCAACCCAAACAGGGAGGAAGTCAGGATTCATAGGCAGTGTGAAAAATCATTGTATAATTGCAAATTAGAACCATAATCAGCCCTCTGGCCCCTGAGTCCTCTTCATCACTAGGCTGTGAACCAAGATGACTTCTTGTGACTATATCTCCAGGAGAAGAACGCCAAAGCACTGACAGAGAGCAAAGCCTTGTTCATAGACCCAGTGGAGAGAAGAGAGGGAAGAAACATTTGTGAAAAATTAAAAGAGGAGGCTTGTTATTCAGCAAATGGGAGCTCTGAGAGATCAATGTTCTCTTTATAGTTTGTTTTTAAATATGAAAGTGATGGCCGGTGCAGTGGCTCATGCCTGTAATACCAGCACTTTGGGAGACCGAGGCAGGAGGATCACCTGAAGTCAGAAGTACGAGATCAGACTGACCAACATGGTGAAGCCCCATCTCTACTAAAAATACAAAAAATTAGCTGGGCATGGTGGCAGGCGCCTGTAATCCCAGATACTCAGGAGGCTGAGGCAGGAGAATCGCTTGAACCTGGGAGACAGAGGTTGCGGTGAGCCAAGATGGCGCCATTGCACTCCAACCTGGACAACAAAAGGGAAACTCCAAGTCAAAAAATAAAAAGAAAGAAAGTGATGCATGCATGTAGTATTTTTTTGGTTTTTGGTTTTTGTGGTTGCTGTTGTTCAAACAGTAAAACAAGTGACATTCAAAACATTTAATGACTGTTGCAAGTAGGGCACAGACCAATCAGGATGAGGGATTCCAAGCCGCTGTGCTGTCCTGGGGAGTACCTACTGCACAGCAGATTGGAACTACAACAAAGAAAGAGGCCTCTCACCCCAGACCCCCAGCTGCACTCCCCAGAGGTAACCACTGTTTATTTCTTAGGACTTATTCCAGAAATGTTTCATGCCTGTATCAGCATGTCTCTGTGCCTATATATCCCTTTTTGTCTAGAGCATTGCTTTTGAAAACACCATACTGTTCTGTAGCATATTCAAGACAGGTAGATCACTTGAGGCCAGGAATTTGAGACCAGCCTGGGCAACATAGCGAGACCCTGTCTCTACCAATAAATAAATAAATAAATAAATAAAATTAAACAAAAAACAAAACTAAAAAAATTTCAGGTATGCTGGTATGCGCCTGTAGGCCCAGCTACTCAGGAAGCTGAGATGGGAGGATCACTTGAGCCCAGGAGTTTGAGGCTGTAGTGAGCTATGATCCAGCACTCCAGACCTGAAGACAGAGTGAGACCCTGTCTCAAAACAAACAACGTATCTTAGACTTCTAGACATCATTTCCTCTACATCTGTAGCTCATTTTGTTACACTTTGGCAATGCTACTCAAAATCTGGTCTGTTTGCCAGTGCAGAAACTGTTTGCTACAGGTCTGAGAAAAGATAAGGGAGGAGCTTGCACCAGAATCAACTATGTCTTTAAGCACACTGTTTATTTCTGGCAATACATACTGGTGACCATTGAACGACACAGGGGTTGGAAGCATTGGCCCCTATGCAATCAAAATCCATCCTCAACTTTTGACTCCCCCAAAATCGCAACTATTAATATCCTACTCTTGACTGGAAACCTACTGGTCAACATAAACAGTGGATTGACACATTTTGTTTGTTACGTATTACATACTGTATTATTACAGTAAAGTAAGCTAGAGAAAAGAAAATATTAATAAAACAATAAGGAAAATATACTTGCTATTCACTAGGTGAAAGTGGATTGTCATAAAGGTCTATATCCTCACCATCTTCACACTGAGTAGGCTAAGGAGGAGGAGGAGGAGGAAAAGGAAGCTTTGGTCTTGCTGCCTCTGAGGTGGAAGAGGCGGAGAAGGTGGAAGGGGAGGTAGGACAGGCAGGCATAATCAGTATAACTTTTATTGAAAAACATCCACATATAAATGGACTTGTGTTGTTCAAACCCATGTTATTCAAGGGTCAACTGTAAATATTTTTTTGTGTGTCAGAAAGACTCTCTTGATAAAGTCATTGATTTATATTCTGGCTCAAATTCCTTATCTCCTAGTAGACCAGTAACAAACAACAGACTGTCTATTTTGAGCAGTACAGCCCCAGAGCATGTACTGTCATAGTTATTTAACCAGTCCCCTCTTGATGAGCAGTCGGGTTCACACAAGTGAACGTTCTCGCATGCATACGTCTTTGTGCACTTGGGAGAGGATTTCTGTAGGAGAGTCCTAGGAGTGGTATCAAGGTTGCGCAATTGATGAAAAAGCTGGTCACGATGGTGCCAGAGAGCTGGAAGTAACCTCAGAGTCACTTCTAAATCAAAAATAATGGGGTATTCAATGTGAAATTGAGTCGTCCAATTTTCACATTTTGTTGATGAGAAAGGCAAAAACCACAAAGGTAAAAGCAGGGCCCAAAGTCTGATTAGTCAGTGCAGGAAGGGGCCCTACTCCTCTGAAAGGCATTGGGTGTCAGCAGGACAATGACCTGGACACAAGGCCTTAGGGTCTGAGCTAAGGGGATGGATGGAATGACTCTGTCTCCTCCAGCAGTATAACTGGAAACAAGGGTATCTCAGAGTCACCCTGGGACCTAATCTGCAGGAGATTCCAGGTTCTGTTTTAATGGGTGTTGCTGAGCCGCCTAGGAAAACCTGTGAAGGAGGCTTTGGGGCACACTGCTTGGGCCTGCCTTAAGCTGCCCCATGGAGAAAAGAAGGAAACGGTCGCATTAGACCAGGATATCCTAAGAAGGCAGATAATTTATTAACACCCAGAATTTTGAAGAGTTTAGTGATAGTGGGCTCTGGTCAGAAAAAAAAAAGGAACAGTAAAAAGGAACTAGGAACAAATGAAGGATAAAAATGATAGAGAACAGAGCTATATAAGACATGGATGAGGCACAGTTTCCACAAAAAGCTAAAGAAAGTGATCACAGATTTAGAAGGAGAAAGACAGCAATGGAGTCCAGGAAGCCAACAGAGAAAAGTTCCAAGAAGGGATAAGCAGACAGAAGCAGCAAAAGCTGCAGAGGACTCAAATGAGATGCGGATTTTGAAAGAGCCAGTGGATTTGGCAACCTGGAAGCCACTGGTGGCCTCGTGGAGTCACTTCAGTAAAGCAGTGACAGCAAAATTCAGATTGCAGTGAACCAAGAAAGGAATGGGAAGCAAGAAAATCGAGCCATTGAGTACAAACAGTAATTCTTGGACAGACTGATTGGGAAAGAAGAGAGAGAAAAAGGAGAGTGGAACGTGGCTGCTGGGGCACATAACAGCGTATCCTTTAAAACCTTTACTCAACCTCTGTGTGCACAGGCAGGTCACTCACTCTCAGGGCCAGAGGTAGCTGGAGAGAGAAAGGGGAGTCCCAGCTTGCCGTACCAGCCTTCGCTGAATTGTGGTTTCCTGAAGATTTGTATAAATTATCCAGAGTAATAGAACTCTGTGCCCATACTGTTTTCAGGATGTGTGCATGGGGTATGATAATAACAATAGCCACCATTTATTGAGAACGTATTTACGCAAAGCTAAGAGCTTTACATAAATTATCTCATTTAATCCTTACCATAACTCTATGAGGTAAGCCTTATATTTTTTTCTTCAATTCAAAAATGATAAAACCTGAGACTCAGAGGGCTTAATTAGCCTGCTACAGGTCATCCAGCAAATAAATGCAGCAACGGGATTCAAACCCCAGTTCATACTCCAATGCCTGTGCTCCTATTAAGCCAGAGTCCCTCAAGCCGAACTCTATGAATCACAGGCAACAGGCTCAGGTGGGGAGCTTTTCAAAAATCCAAATGCCCAGGTTCCACAAAAGATATACTGACTTTTTAAAAATAAAAACTGGAGCCCACAATCTGAAATCCCCACAAATGATACTATCAAGCTCTGCAAATGTTTCCTATGCTCATGGAAGTCTTCTAAGGTAAAGCATCTACCTCCTCACTGTTTGAGCTACCTGTCGTTGGTCTTCATCCACATTAGGATTTACATGGGCTTCCTGAGGATAAAGACAGCCTGGACTGCTTGTTTGCGTAGCTTCCCAGACCTTAACCTGGACCTATTGAAAGAGCATTTCCACGGGGAAGGCCAGCAGTCTGTTATGTATATTTGGCAAGTTTCCCAGGCAATTATTATCTTCAGAGAACACTGAGAGACTGTATTCAGTTATTCACAGCTAAAAGTATCCTAAGTGCTACCCTGGGCTCTAATTTAAGTTCTAACACTTAATCATTCTAAGCTTCACTTTCCTATAAAATGGGCATAAATGTGCCTGCCTGGCAGAGCTGCTGTGAAGAACAGATACTGTACCAATTAGGATTAGAATTACCGGCTTATAACAAAAACAAATCAACAATGGTTTAAACATAGGGGTTTATTTTTGTCTCAGTTTAAAGTCTAGAGGTAAGCGATCCAGGGCAGGTATGAGGTCTGGGAGGAAAGACTCTTGCTGTCTAGGGAGGAAGAATAGACAAAGAGGAAGACTCTTGCTGTCTGTCTGCCCTTTCATCAGTAACACATTGCCTCTTTACACAAAATGGCAACTGAGGCTGCAGCCATTTTGTCGACAGGCTTGGTAAAGCGAAGAGAAGAAGGAATTCACCTCCAGGCAGTCCAGATCCCCTTAAGGAGTATATCTGGAAGGCCCTCCTGATACTTCCAGTTTATATTGCATTAACCAGAACTTAGATACAGGCCCACACCTAGCTGCAAAGAAGGCTAGGATCTTTTTGTTCAATATCAGATCTTTGCTACCCCAAATAAATCAGGTTTCTGTTTTGTTGTTTTTTTCTTTTTAAGGAGAATAAATATTGGTGTTTTGGCCAAGCACAGTGGCTCACACCTGTAATCCCAGCACTTTGGGAGGCAGCGGTGGGTGGATCACCTAAGGTCAGGAGTTCAAGACCAGCCTGGCCAACATGGTAAAACCCCATCTCTACTAAATATAAAAAATTAGCGGGGCATGGTGGTGCGTGCCTGTAGTCCTAGCTACTTGGGAGGCTAAGGCACGAGAATCACCTGAACCCAGGAGGCAGAGGTTGCAGTGAGCCGCGATCATACCACTGTACTCCAGCCTTGAAAACAGAGCAAGACTCTAAAAAAAAAATTTTTTTTGGTGTCTCAGTCACAAGAATGTGCCTCTGCTAAGTTCTCACTGCAGGGAGCTGAGGGCACCAGCTGCTGTGCTTTGCAATCTATTGGCCACACCTACCCTGGAGATGCACCCTGCCAACGCCTGAGTGCCGAGTACAGAGTCAGACCCAGTCCTGACAGACAAGGCACGCCTTCGCTAGCTGACTTTGGCTCAAGGGCTCCCTGAGGGGGTTGCAGAACCTTTGTTAGAACGCACCTTCCTTAGACTGCAGGGCAATATGGAATGCCAACAACCCAGCCTTTTGTCCCTCTCTCCTTTTCTTGGGGGCTGGTGGCTCTCCTGGCCTTCTCTAGCTCCTTCACTCCTTCCTTTCACACAAGCATTTCCCCTTGTAAAACAACTGCATGTTTCATCCCATCTTGGTATCCCTTTCTCAAAGTAGCTGACTAACAAAAATTGACAAGGCAATTCACAGTTCCCAGCACAAATTCCGTAATGCACATAACACTTGTGGAACTCAGTGATGGGCATGGAGTAGACAATAAATAATAGCCGTGTCGGGGAGGAGGAGGAAGCAGTGCAGGGTCAACCATGGAGAAAGGAATGTTTTACCGAAAGGTGGGACACGGAATCTGAAGCAAATCACTCTGTTTGATTCTCCTTCACCCCCAAAGAATCTCCATTACTGTAACATTTGGTTAACAACAGCACCAAAGTCCATGTTGAGAGGACCTGTCACATGCCTGTAATCCCAGCACTTCAGGAGGCCAAAGCAGGAGGATCACTTGAGGCCAGGAGTTTCAGACCAGTCTGGGCAACATGATGAGACCCCGTTTCTCCAAAAAAAAATACAAAAATTAGCCAGGTGTGGTGGCGTGAACCTGTAGACCCAGGTACTTGGGAGGCTGAGCTGGGAGGATCACTTGAGCCTGGGAAGTGAAGGTTGCAGTGAGCCAAGATTGTGCCACTGTACTCCTGCCTGGGTGACAGAGAGAGGCTCTGTCTCAAAAAAAAAAAAAAAAATTGTCATCATAGTACAACTGAAGTGGTATTAGTTAACAGCAATCATTTCAGGTCATTTTCAGCAAAAACAAACAGGAAAAAAGCAGCAGCACAGGCCCCAAGACAAAACTGCACAAAATAAACCCAATGTCCTGAGCAACTCTGGTTCTCATACTGGAAAAACCACCAGATTACTTGAGATGGTGATGTAAGAACATTATTTCCATAACTGTTTAGTGTGGAAGCAAAAGCACCATCTCTACAAAAATAATGAAGAATTTCAGCTGGGCATGGTGGCTCACACCTGTAATCCCAGCACTCTGGGAGGCTGAGGAGGGCAGATCACTTGAGGTCAGGAATTCAAGACCAGCCTGGCCAACATGGTAAAACCTTGTCTCTACTAAAATACAAAAATTAGCTAAGCATGATGGCAGGTGCCTGTAATCCCAGCTACTCAGGAGGCTGAGGCAGGAGAATCGCTTTTACCAGGGAGGTGGAGGTTGCAGTAAGCCAAGATCACACCATTGCACTCTACCCTGAGTGACAGAGCAAGACTCTGTCTCAAAAAAAAAAAAAAAGTAATAATGATAAAGAATTTCAAGGAGAAAATACAGAGTGAAAGAAGGTGCAGTTGGGGCACAAGGTGGATGTGAATCTGTATATGACACAAAAGTTCCCTGGGACTTAACCGACATCATGTACGTGGCACACAGTAGGAGCTTAATAAATGATGATTGCCCACATACATGAATGTTTCACTCAAGGTTGTAGTGCACCACTCACAGATTCATTAAAGAAAGATTTGTAGAAGGCCTACCATGTGCCAGTTTCTGTGCTAGGCACTGATGATGTCAGTGAATGAGAAAGCTGAAGTCCTTGCCCCACAGTTCTTCTGCAGAGAAATCTCCTTTGCAGACATTTTGTATGGATCCCGCTGCCTTTGTCTTTCTACTTCACAGACTGAATGTGAGCCCACATCTATCAGACTTAAAGCCTATATGCGCAGGTCTAATGGTAGTGTGTTATCAGAATCTATTAACATTTGTGTCCCTAAAATTGGTATGCAACTCCCCACTGCTAAATGTGACTTGTCTTTTAAAAAATTATATTAAAGTTTTTTAAATGCCCATTTGAATTGCTTCTGAAATATTTTCTTGATCTCTGAAACCAAGTAGACTCACCCGTGTAAAATTATCCTTGATGCAACCTTGGATTTCGATTCACCTCTATATTAGTCATCTATTATTGCACAACGAATTACTCCAAAACTTAACAGCTTAAAATAACAAGCATTTATCATCTCATAGAGCCAGGGAGTGACTTAACGGGATGGCCTGGCTCATGGTCTCTCATGAGGGTTCTTTCCATCAAGGTGCTAGCCAGGGATTCAGTCTCTGAAGGCTGGACTGTATTTTTTGTAGAGACAAGGTCTCATTTTATTGTCCAGGTTGGTCTCGAACTCCTCAGCTCAAGCAATCCTCCTGCCTCGGCCTCCCAAAGTGCTGGGATTACAGGCATGAGCCACTGTGCCCGGCCCTGCTTCTCCTGCATTTCGCTAGTGACACAGACCATTGCTGGTACCACATGGGAGGGGACCAGATAGGGTTTGAAAACCAGGAGGCAGGATCTTTGGTGGCACTCCTAGAAACTGGTTACCACAGTTTCCAAGAAGAACTCCTTCTTCCCAAACTCCACCTAAACTCTGGAACAGGGAGGTGTGCAAATGTCACTGTCTCAAAATACAGAGGACAGCAAACAGTGAATGTACTCTGTCCTGGTAACTCATGTTTTAAGCCCAGTAGAACTGCTTTTCCTCAATTATACTTGAGCATCATGCCACAGGCCTGCATAGAAGGACATTATAAGAAAGAGCTCCAATTAAGTCATTGCTGTATTGCATCACTGTTCAGTCAGCTGACCCCTGGGAGAAAAATATCTCTTTAGTCTCAGGGTCAGGAAAAGTTGAGCTTCTCCCGAACAATTGTTTTTCTAGAATTTTGTTACAACTCACATTTCCCTCTTTACTTTGGCTGTTCGGAAGCTCAGAGCCAAACATGTAAGCCATTGTGGGTATTGATCTTTTTTGAGCTAATGTCATCATGGAGTTATTTCTTCCACTTGTTTTCTATTTTCTCCAACTCCCTCAGCTTTTTGGCTTGTCCTTTTGTATATTTTGTACTTTTGTAATTCCCCTCAAAGCTTCTGTGAATTGAGGTGAAGTTTCTTTTTTTTTTTTTTTTTTTTTTTTTTTTGAGACGGAGTTTCACTCTTGTTACCCAGGCTGGAGTGCAATGGCACAATCTCGGCTCACCGCAACCTCCGCCTCCTGGGTTCAGGTAATTCTCCTGCCTCAGCCTCCTGAGTAGCTGGGACTACAGGCACACGCCAATATGCCCAGCTAATGTTTTGTATTTTTAGTAGAGATGAGGTTCACCATGTTGACCAGGATGGTCTCGATCTCTTGACCTCGTGATCCACCCGCCTCGGCCTCCCAAGGTGCTGGGATTACAGGCTTGAGCCACCACGCCCGACGAGATGGAGTTTAAATACACAAATTAGTTTTTGCCCAAAAGACTAATGACGTGCATGTGCCATCTAGTGGTGAGAGAGACAACTGCCAGAACAGAAACCTCCCTGATTTTTCAGATGTGTTTTTGATGGAGAGGGGAGTAGTGGGCAAGGGAAGAGGAGGGAGACCAGGACCGCTCTTTGTGCTTTGTCAGGAAATTGAGACTACTGAGGATTAAAGGGACTCTAGGCAGGGCCAAGGAGCAGGTGATTCAATGGCTAGAACTGAAGATGATTTATTGGAATTTGAAGAAACAGTCAAAAAAATAGTGAAGAATGAGGAAGGCACTGGCAGCAAAAAGGTTAAGGAAAAAAAAAAGTATTAGGAAAAGTAAACAATGAAAATAGACCTGATTCAAGCAAATCACTTGACTTAATGTAGGTTGATTGCAGATGTGACCGGCCATTTTTTAAACATTCACATTAACTGTAGAAAGAAACTTAGAGTCCAGTGTTTTTCTTTTACGTGAGAGAAAACTGGGGCACAGAGGCACTGAGCCTCTTGCTCAAGGTCACACAGCCTGTGAGTCCCAGGTCCAGGGTAACTCCTAGACCAGTCCTCCTTCCCCAGCACTATGCTACTCTTAACTATATGTAGCAGACACTCATTTGGGCTTTCATTTTGCATACAGGGTTTCAAAATAAAAATGAGGTCATCACATAAAAATGCTGGAGCCAGCATATTTTCAATAAATTATTACTCGCTGGTTTTTTAGCTACCCCCTTGGCCTACCCCCAAAATGTCAGGGTGGTGGTTTGAAGCACTGGCTTCATTCATCTTCACCATGTGGCAAGTCATCAGTTCACAATGATAGAGAAGGATTCCAGAAGCCAATCACAGTAGGTGAGGGAGCCCCAGTCTGGGGAAGAGAAAGCAAATTCACTCCTCTACCGTGTTAACCTAGCATCTGCTCTGGGCCAGGTTCCGGGTGGGATGCTGGGATGGCAATATCAACAATGCACTGGCCATGTCTGGAGCTATACATGTCCTATCTCTCCGTGCCCTGACACGTGCATTCTTGGACACAGCTTCAGCTAAAACTGATGCATAGCTTGGATCTGGAGGGCCCTTGAAGATCTAGCCCAGGGATCTATAGTCTCAAGTTGAATGTCTTAGAAACAGCCTGAAGATGGGGACCAGTGAGCGGGCTGGAGATACTGGCTAAAAAGGAACTTGAGATGCTACCATACTCAACAGTACAAATATTGAACATTTTAATCATCTGAGAGGGTTCTATTGAATAGCATTAGCCAAGAGTTCCTTTTCCTGGATTTTCTGTTCCTCTGAGTCCTACCAGTTCTCCCACGCCCTGCAAAGACTGACATAAGCAGAGACTGATATGAGCCACTGATTCCTGGAAGAGGCAGAGCTCTGGTACAATGGCTGTTTCAAGTTGATATCCTCAGAGGTACAAATGACACACCAGAGACAGAGGGCATCTGAAGTTGTTTCTTAAACTTTCCAGGCTTCTGCGCTGGTAAAGGGTGCCAGATGGGGCAAAAAGAACAGAAGGAATATTGAGGGGCTCAACGTTTGTGATCAGAAAGACCCAATTTCCTATCAAGGTTCTCCATTACTAGTTGGATAATCTTTAGGCAAAGCCTATGGGCACCAGTTTTCTTGCCAGCAAAAAGCTGAGAACTATGATAGTCACGAAGATTAAATAAGCCAGTGGATGAGACAGTGTCTGGCTCATGGTTAAGTGTAGATTTCTTACTCATCTCTTCCTGCCCTTTTGGATGCTAATTTCCCCTCTGCCAAGGATATGAGCCACATGTCACCTTCTCATCATAGTGGAGGCTAGTCATGCCTAGCTGTTCTACTCATTCTCTTAATGAATATTTGTTATGAAAACAGCAACTGGCCAGGCTCAGTGGCTTACGCCTGTAATCCCAGCACTTTGGGAGCCCAAAGCAGGTGGATCACGAGGTCAGGAGTTCGAGACCACCCTGGCCAAAATGATGAAACCCCGTCTCTACTAAAAAAAAAAACAAAAATTAGCCGGGTGTGGTGGCAGGCACCTGTAATCCCAGCTACTCAGGAGGCTGGGATTGCTTGAACCTGGGAGGCGGAGCTTGCAGTGAGCTGAGATTGCCCCACTGCAACCTGAGTGACAGAATAAGACTCCATCTCAAAAAAAAAAAAAGAAAGAACGAACAAAGCAGCAACTGCCTGGCCTCGTGTTCTGCATCATACAAAGATGGAAAACACATCCCCAACACACTGTCCCATGAGAAAGATTGGCAGGCAAACCAATAGTTATATAGTAGGGGGCCAAGAAGTGAATTGAGAGTGCACAGGGAGAGAGAACAGAGGTGGTGATATTTCAGCTAAGACAGAAAGTGTGAACAGAAGTTTGCCTGATCAGCAAGCATTTGGGAGAGGGCATGCTAAGCAGAGATAACAGCACATGCAAAAAACGGAAGACTGGAAAGCAGGGTAAATCCAATTATGAAGGTCTCTGAGCACTGTGCTAAGGAGTTTGAGCTCAAACTTGTAGGGGACACAAAGCCTCTAAAAGGAAGTCATCATATTTGAGTACTGAACATATTTCTACATTGCCAGTGTGGATATGGTTTAGAAGAGGCAAGACTCATGCCTGTAATCCCAACATTTTGGGAGGCCAAGGTGGGCGGATCACCTGAGGTCAGGAGTTTGAGGTCAGCCTGACCAACATGGAGAAACCCTGTCTCTACCAAAAATACAGAATTAGCCAAGCATGGTGGTACATGCCTGTAATCCCAGCTACTCGGGAGGCTGAGGCAGGAGAATCGCTTGAACCTGGGAGGCGGAGGTTGGGTGAGCTGAGATCACGCCATTGCACTGCAGCCTGGGCAATAAAAGCAAAAATACATTTCAAAAAAAAAGAAGAAGAGGTAAGACTGGTAAAAGGAAAGTGAGACTCAATTTCTTCCACTTTCCCCATTTCACTGTGCTCCAGTCACAAGGGACTTCTCTGAGTTCCTTGACTTACAAAATACCAAGCTCTTCCCCGCCTCAAGGCCTTTGCACTTACTGTTCCCTCTGCCTGGGCCACTCTTCTCTTGGCTGTTACAGAGCTTCCTTCTTCTCAGCCTTTATGTCAAGCATTTCAGACCAAGCATTTCTTTCTTTCCCTAATCAATCTAATATATCAGTTTCCCTCCATTATTCTCTTGTAGCATCCTGGGGGTGGGAGTGTTCTATTTATCACAATTTGACATTTTATTCTTATTTGTATTAAGTGATCAATAGCTGTCTTCCCTATTAGGCTGTAAACTACCATGAACACGAGGCCATGTCTGCCCCCATTCAACACCACGTCCCCAGCACCCAACACAATGCCTGGCGCTGTGCTAACACTCAAACACAGGACTTATGAGACTGTGACAATAGCCGAGATGATCATGGCTTAACCTAAGGAAGTACTAGCAAACCTGGAGCGAAGAGGCTAATGCAACAGGAAGTAAACAGGATAGGTCTTGAGGCAGAATATAGCCTGGAGGCATAGAACTTAAGAACTTGCTAGAACTAAATCAAAGGAAACACTTCAGCTATGATAAGAAATATCTTCTTTATGAGGCCAGAAGCGGTGGCTCACGCCTGTAATCCCAGCACTTTGGGAGGCCGAGATGATCACAAGGTCAGGGGTTCAAGAACAGCCCGGCCAACATGGTGAAACCTCGTCTCTACTAAAAATACAAAAATAAGCTGGGCACGGTGGTGCATGTCTGTAATCCCAGCTACTCAGAAAACTGAGGCAGGAGAATCACTGGAACCTGGGAGGCAGACGCTGTGGTGAGCCGAGATCGTGCCATTGCACTCCTGGCAACAGAACAAGACAAGAAAGAAAAAGAAGGAAGAAAGGTCCTCTGTATTTACATAGGCTATACAACTAGTAAATGCCTTTGTAACTTTACTTTAGCCTCTTCATTTACATAACGCGCACATCAAGTAACCAATGGAAACCTCTAGAGGGTATTGAAACCCCAGAAAATTCTGTAACCGCTTCTTGAGACCCTATGCTCGGCCTGCTCCCACCCCGTGAAATGTACTTTCGTTTTCAATAAATCTCTGCTTATGTTGCTTCATTCTTTCCTTGCTTTGTTTATGCCATTTTGTCCAATTATTTGTTCAAGACGCCAGGAACCTGAACACGCTCCACTGGTAACAGTCTGAGACAGGAATCCGAATCAGTTCCGCCTGTACAGAGTTCTAACTGCACTTCTAGCTGCCTGGGCAGGTCAACCACCTTTTATCCACCACGCCCTCAGTATTCCTCGTAAAATCAGAACCACCCCTTTGCAGCTTGGCTGAGCGAATGTCCTCAAACGCAGAAACAACAATGCTAGGGCTGAGGCCGAGGATCGTGAAAGCTCAAATGAGCACACCTGCAAGAGCAGCACCCGCTCCTCGAGGGCGGAAGTGACTGCTTGATCTAAGTCCGTAGGGTAAAATGGATCCCCCATATGCGGAACACCATGGTTCTTTGTAACCTCATAAAGCGTCCGATAAGCAGCAGGGGCTGGGGGGGTAATTTAGGGCCAATATCATTTGTTTCTTTTACATACTTTCGCCATTTCTCAGAATTCTAAAATTTGTTTAATAGAAATACCAGCTTGAGGGAAGCTGAAAACTACAGTGTAGAAGGAAAATCTTCGCTGAAGGATAACCAAGAGGTAGAGATGGGAAAACGTTCATGCGCAGCACCCCCTGGCGGGAGGGAGGAGCTGGTGTGGAAGATCCGCCCAGCCCGCCTCTTTCGCTCTGGTTCCAGTCCCACTCGGGAACCCCCGAACTGCTAGCGAGTCCCGGAGACTCACGTTACCACATTGCCCAGGAGACCCCGAGGCCGGCCTCAGTCTTCTCACAAAGGGAGGGGCTGAGTCGTGGCTCGCTTCCCTGCCTTGAGATGCGGGTTGTTTTAATCGAGCAGGTTTCGCTCTTCTCCGCCAGTCTGTGAAGTTCCCGAAACCGTAGGGTCAACACGGCACCGACCACGTCTAGGGAGCCAGGAGGAAGTAGGCGCCGCAAAGCCCTCTGGGAAATATAGTTTCCAGGAAGGCTTCTGGGAAGGCGCCTCCGGCTGCCAAGTAGAGCCGGGCTCGGGCGCGTCACGTGTCCTGTGCAGCCGGCTGTTCTGCCTGAGCTGCTGTTGTGAGAGGTGCCCAGGTCTGGGGAGTAGCTGCTGCCATCGCCTGCCCTCGATTTCTGGACTAGCCCCTAGAAGTCGACGCAGTCTCTGCGTCCTCCCTGTTGCTCAAACCGGCACTGATCTTTAAAGACACTGAAACTTCTGGCTGTCCTTGACTTGGAGTTGACTTGTAGGCTCTGTAGGACCTCGCCATGTTCTCTTCCTCATGGCTTCTGCGGCAGGCAAAATGAGCCACTCCATGTGCTTCAGAGCTTTAGGGAATAAACCATTAACCAAGTCATTTGATTGCCTCATCTTTGGGGACCTTTTCCACTACCTGTTCACACTCCTTGTACTCACCCATGACTGTCCCTCAGAAACTTAAGTCCTGGACCCTTCTGCATTCTTCAGTCCTCTCCTAGTTTCATTTCTTCTCCTAGCCAACCTAGATCCTAAGAATCCTCTCCTGCTTTATTTCCTTCTGTAACAACCTCAAACCCTGGATTAATACAGTTGCCTATTTGGGCCTACGAGCTGCAGCTGGAGGGCGGGAATACATCGCCTAATCCCACAGGTTGATGCCATTACAGTCAAGGTTTCAGACTTCAACTAAGCCCTAAATTCAACCAGCTGGTTTCAGCACGGGGTGGTGGTGGGGAAGGAGGCTAACCAATAGACAGAAGGGGTCTGCTGCCAAGCGTCCTGGTGGAAATACAAGGCTTTGGTAGGACTGTCTTTATTGTCTCCTATCTCGCTCCTACACCTCATGTTTGTACTAGAATGGCATAAGAATGAAATGCAGAACTGATGCAGGCAAACCCAAAAACTGGGGTTCAGCTTGGGAGGGTTCTTGGCTTGACCCAGGAAAGAATTCAAGCGTGAGCCAACAGTATAAGAAAGCAAGTTTATCTGAGCAACAGTGTACAGGAAAATGTCTGCTTCATAGACAGAACAGAGCTATCCCATAGCAGAGTGCCCAGAGTGGCACTCATGGATTGCTGGCTAGCTATCTTTATATTCACTCGTTATTACATGCTTAATAAGGGACAGGTTATTCACAAACTTTCTAGAAAAGGGGCAGAGAGCTCCTGGAGCCATATAACTTCAGGATTGTTGCCATGGCATTTGTAAAGTGCCATGGCACTTGTGGGAGTGTCTTATGCAAACGTAGTATAATTCCCAGTCCTAGCGAGTTTGGGCTGGTTTCTTTGCTACATCCTGTTCTGATCAGCAGGGCCATGATCAATACTCGAAAAACAAGTCCTGCTGATCTCCTACATCATTACCCCCACAGAGATTATATACTCCTCTTTAATCTTAAAGGTTTGTAAAAGAGTGAAGAACCATCTTCTGTCACTGCCTCCTACTGATTTTGTGGGCATAAACCCTGCCTAGCTTTAGAGTAGCAAAAATCTCTAGATGCCTAATCTAAAGGGCCCAAAGGCAGAACATCTTTACTTACCAGGTCAGAAGACAGGATGGGTCAGACGCCTTGTGCCAGCATCATCTTCACATGGAATTGTTGTAACCTAGACGACACAAACTTTACAAGGAGGTTAAATACGCAAGGGTCAAAGACTAGTAGTAACAAAATAGCCACTAGAGGTCCTAAGAAGGGTGAAAACCAACTACCTGACAGTAGAGATACCTTTATTGAATTCAATCCGCAGAGACAAAAGAGGTCTTTACTGGGGGAAAATTATCTGGAACTACAGAATAGAAGAATTACTATTAGGAGGAAGGGGAACATTTTTGCTTTTATGCTTATGCACAGCAGCAGCATGTCACTTATCTGTATGCTTGCTAAACAATAACTTTAAGCCTTCTGGGGGTTCACAGTGTACGTCATGGTGTCCTCCTCTTGCGCCTGTGGGGATTTATGAGAAACAGGATTGATTCTGGACAGGTGTACCCAGCTAGTGACTCCCTGAAGTGTAACAGCTGTGGGGATGCTTAACAATGCCTGGTAGGGTACCTTCCACTTTGGTTGTAATTGATCCTCGGGGGTTCCTTCTTTCCAAGTTTTTGATAGAACTCTGTCTCCTGATTGCACGGGGGAGCTATTCTTTTCCTTTGTGAAAAAGGGCAATACCTTATTTTCATATTCTTGAAGGGTCTTTTGAACCAGTTCTAAATTAATATGAGTAAGCATTGTGTGTGTCTCCTCATCAAACAGGAGGTCTGCAGTGAAAAAAAGGCCTCCCATAAGCCATTTCAAATGGGCTAAGTTTTAAGGTTCCCTTCGGAGCCATCCTAATGCACAAAATGGGTAGAGAAGAGAGACCCAGGTCTCTGAGGTCTCTTGACAGAGTTTTGGTAATGTCCTTTTTAAAACATGATAGGCTATTTCTACCTTACCTAAGGACTGAGGCCTCTAGGAGGAGTAAAGATGATAGATAATGCCTAAGGCTGAGGAAACCTGCTGGATCACCTTAGCTGTGATGGAAGGCCTCTTAGCACTCTGCAAACATTTTGGTAATCCAAGGCTTCGGATGATTTGTTTAAGTAACAATGTGGTCACTTCCAGTACTTCTTCTGTTCTTGTGGGGAAAGCTTCTGTCCACCAGATGAAAGTATTATAAGTACAAGCAAATACTTTAGTCCTCTGTAAGGTGGCATCAGGGTGAAATCTATTTGCCAGTCTTCCCTAACGTATATTCGTCGGTGTTATACAGGTTCGAGTAGGGGTGAGGGTATAGAGTTCACAGGCCCTGTGACCCTTTTTATGGTCTGCAGTGGCCCCTTCCCCACAAATATCTGAATAGAGATTCAATTTGAATAGAGAATCTCCCCAAATTTGAGGAGTCATGGAAATGATTAATTATTTTCCATTGCTCAGCCTCAGGGAGAGTGTGTTGCTTTCTAGCAACCACCCTGGGGGATCCTTTTGTAAGCCTTCTGTCCTGCCCCTTTAATTTCCTCAGGCGTGTAGTTTGGCACCGCTGACCTGAATGGAGTACCAGGTGTTTGTGCAGCAGCCGGTAGTACCAATCTTCCTTTGGCAGTGGCCTCGGCTGCTATGGCTGGCAGGGCATTTCCTGTAATTATAGAGGTTTCTCACTTTTGGTGTCCCCTGCCATGAATAACTGCTTTGTCTTTTGGGAGTTGAGCAGCGTCTAAAAGTTCCAAGATCACAGAGTGATGTTTTACAGGGGCCCAGTCCTTCTTTTCATATGGTAGCATAGGCACAAAGTACCAGGAAGCCACATTCACAATCAGTAAATACACACACACACATATATACTCATACACACACACACACACACACACACACACACACACATATATATATATATATATATATATATATATATATATATATATATTTTTTTTTTTAGGTGGATTCTCACTTTGTAGCCCAAGCTAGAGTGCAGTGGCACAATCTTGGCTCACTGCAGGGCTCAAGCAATTCTCATGCCTCAACCTCCCAAGCAGCTGGGACACACCACCACGCCCAGCTAATTTTTTGTATTTTAGTAGAGATGGGGGTTTCACCATATTGCCCAGGGTGGTCTGCAACTCCTGAGCTCAGATGATCCTCCCGCCTCGGCCCTACCAGAGTGCTGGGATTACAGGCATGAGCCATTATGTCTGGCCAGAATCAGTAAATATATTGCCTCTTAAGTCTTTTCCCAATCAGAGGTCCTAATTAGAGTGATTAATTCCAGTTTTTGAGCAGAAGTCTGAGGAGGTAAAGCTTTGGCCTCAATAACTTCTTGTTGGCTAACCACAGCATAACCTGCCTTCTTTATTCTCTCAGGAATAAACTGCTCCCATCAGCAAACCATTTAACATCAGGGTTAGGCAGGGGCTTATATTTAAGGTTAGGCCTGCTAAAGTAGGTCTAT